ATACACCCCCCGGGGATCCTCGAAGAGAACCTGAAGCCGGAGAACAAGCTCGGCACGATAAACGCGGATACACTTCCCTCGACCGAAAAGTCGCCAGTAGAGACAGGCGAGGCTGTCCTGGAGGGACCCGTGGATCTAGAATCTCTCCTGAATCTAGACGACATCGAAGAGGTGGCTACGAAACAAATACCTAACAAGGCTTGGGCATACTACTACTCAGCGAGTGATGATCTCAAGTCCAAGACCTTCAACAACATCGTGTACGGACAGATCCTCCTCCGACCTCGGATATTTGTCGATTGCGTCAACTGCGACACGTCTACCTCCTTCCTCGGCCATGATGTCAAGCTGCCGATATACGTCTCTCCTGCTGCCATGGCTCGATTAGCCCATCCAGACGGTGAGCGGGGCATAGGGCAAGCATGCGAACAATTTGGGGCTATGCAAGTCATCTCCCAAAATGCCTCTATGACACCCGAGCAGATTGTCGCAGACGCGAAGCCGGGACAAATATTTGGATGGCAGCTTTACGTCCAGAATGAGCGAGAAAAAAGCGAGGCCATGCTAGCGCGGATAAAAAAACTTCCTCAGATCAAATTCATATGCTTGACACTAGACGCTCCGGTGCCTGGTAAACGTGAGCACGATGAAAGAAGTAAGAATGTCGGTTCTAACCTCCCTGTGCGCGCAGCTGTTCAGGAAGGCGATTCTGTCTCGACAACCAGCACCAATGCGAAGACTCCTGCGCCACCCAGATCGATGGGTGTTGGCCAAAGTCTTTTCTGGGGTACTGCAGCAGACCTTACGTGGCAGAAGACTTTACCATGGCTAGCGAAGCATACGGATCTCCCGATTGTGCTGAAGGGTTTACAAACTCACGAGGACGCTTATCTAGCGAGTCTGCATACCCCACAGGTAAAAGCAATCATACTTTCAAATCATGGCGGACGAGCGCTCGACACGGCGCCCCCAGGTGTGCACACGTTGTTGGAAATTAGAAAGTACTGTCCGGAAGTGTTTGACCGGATTGAAGTATGGGTTGACGGAGGGATCAAGAGAGGCACCGATGTTGTGAAAGCGCTGTGCTTGGGGGCTAGAGGCGTCGGAGTAGGACGAGCAGCCCTTTTCGGGCTCGGAGCTGGTGGGAAAGAAGGAGTTGCGCGAGTCCTCGAAAGTAAGTTACTTCTGCCCATCACAGACGGGCTGGTCTTCTCGGATTCAGATTGATCCGTGCTGACATTTCATCTATAGTACTCAAAGCTGAGACCGAGACGTGTATGCGACTCCTAGGCGTAGATAGGATTGATCAGCTGGGGATGCAGCATGTAAGTCCACCGCACTGCAATTTTTGTTTGAAAAAGATAGACAAGTGTAACCTAACGCTCGATAGATCAACACACGCGCAGTTGAAAGGGATATCTACGACGGGCCAGCGGCCCTGGAACGACCTAGTCTGTGGTCGAAGCCAAGAGCGAAGCTATAGTAAGAGCACGCAAAAGTGCTCACGCGCACTCCTACAGTAATATCAAAATCAGGATTCTGTTGGCTTTAATATCTGTAATTGTGAGCAAGCAACCGCATCGGGGGGATTTTATGTCCAGGATACGAATCCTTCCCGACGGGAAGTCGAACAACTACCTAATCGTGTTGGACGGTGTTTGGAATAGTTGGGGATTTCAGGCAGCCGCGATGATCCTACCTACTCTCTAATTCGTCTATCATGTTTTGGTCTCTGTGACTTGATGGTAGTTCCAGCAATGGGGTAAAAGGATCAAAATGGCCCCTGTTCCATCCAGTCGTATGCACCAGGAGCTTAGATCTAGTACCCAACCAACGTTCAGCCCTACCCACCACCACGGCTCAAACGAAACGTGCTTGCAGGCTCCCACGTGTATGCTTGCCTTATCCGGGAGAAAGTGCGGAAATTCTCGCAACCAGACATATTTGTTTTTTGCCCAGTCCTGTGGGTGCGTGCGAGGTTTGTTGGTCCTCGAGGCCTTGCATCAAATCGTCTTTGCTCTTTGCTGCCTCCTGACACCAATTTGGTAGGACACATAATGGATCGAAGCGAGTACACGTTGCGCTCCTATATACTATATCTGTACACCGACAATTTCATAAATGAGACGCAAGAATTTACTAGTCTGTATCTCAGCACTGTTGAGTATGGTGGTGGATTACCCTCAGCTAGCCTCAAGCTTCACTTTAAGCACGCGTCATCGGGTGCCCCCGCGCTGTAATGCTGTCTCAAGTGACGTTGTCTGACCAGCGAAGGTACCCCTGCTCGCCAATCGACGTGACAAGGACGCTAGAAGCCTAAGACCTTCATCCGGACATTTTGGAACCAGGCACACAAGGCACGGCAGTGCCGTCGCCCGTCTGACCACGTCGTTTGAACCCGCTGGTGGGCGCCCCTCCAACGTTGCTGCAGTAATGCCAACACGACAAAGTCATACAGAGCGAATTATCTCTGACCGCTTTGCGACCCTGCCCGTATACTGCTGTGGTTTGACTGGCCGAGGGCTGTAATTTCCGACGCACTGGTAGTGGTCGGTGGGGAAGGCAGCATGTGCCTGGACTGTTTCTGATGTGGCCTGTTGCTTTTTCCCGTGGCTGAGCCGCTTCACTTTTCCTGGGTCCAAGGTTGGGTGCCAGACGTGCTTGGGTGTAGGGTTGGGCATATATAATGGCTTGGATATCCCGATACAATGGTTTATCATTTTACGCTTCATTGACTGAGCTGCATTCTTTTCGATCTTCACTGCCGCTACTTTGATTTTGTACCAACTATTTCGGTATCGATACAGGAATTACGTCCCTTTGCGCTGCAGCCTCACACTCCTTTCCCAGCCTCCTTCTCGATCCATCCATCGACGCTGCCACTCCGGAACCTCGTCCACAAGGAAAAGCCCCAAATCCCAAAGACCTTATCAGACATGCAGTGTCCCACCTGCCGAGGAAACGGCACCATAAAGTGTGACAGCTGCAACGGCTCTGCTTCTGGCTGCAAAGAGTGCAAAAACGGCACGCAGCAATGCCATGTCTGTGAAGGCGCGGGCACCATCCACACCGAATAACCTCCCCCGAACCACCTCAATCTCCCTCATCCGCTCCCCTCCGCAATCAATCACACCACGATCCGCAACCAACCGCCCCGTCCCTCGCACTCGCACACCACTCCGCCGAAAACAAGAATCCGGGGGCATTTGTACGAGCTCCTCAGCCAGGGACCCCTACCTCGGTATATACATACACACACACCCAAATATAAACGTTTCGCAGCGCTGACGTAGCCGCCTTAGACCGCTTTGATGCATATGCACATGGAATGGCGTCTTTTGTTTCAATCAACCTTGGAAATCCCTCTATTCGTCCAAGGCTTCTTCTTATCGAACGGAGTACGGATACGACGCTTATCGTGGGGCGCTCGGATGTTTTTTTTTTCGTTTGCAAGCTGCGCCCGGTCACGTGCGTCGCGTGATAACGCCGTCAATCTCTGAGCTTGCTCCGTCGGAAAGCGATTGGTCGGTTTCTACAAATTGGATGGACCTGGGACTTGGAATTGGGGGGATCGTGAGGACGCGGGGGTTTGGGGGGGGGCTGTTTCATAATTTCCTTTTGATGGGCGGATCGACGGTGGCTGTGGTGACGTGGCCGGGGATCGTAACTTTGATTCAACCGCAGCTGAGCTTGGGCCTCGCTCGCTATGACGATATTTTGTTGGTGTTGTTTTCCTTTTATCATCTCCCCTTTTTCCAGATTTTAGTTTGTTTCGGTTTGGTCGAGCTTCGTGTTGTTGTTAGCGTGGAGGGCTTTTGACTCGACCAAGGCGCCTGGGCTCAAACTGTATTGTAGCAACGGATAAGAAGAGGACACTTACTGCTTTGATTGGAGTAAATAGTAGTCAGATAGTCGGTCATCGAGCCCAACCTCCAACAATTGTCTATGTTTCAATCTAGTATCCACTGTGTACGCCGTATACGAGTCTAGCCTCCTTTCATCCGTCTTGGTGTGTTACTCGGGGTTTTGGGCGCAGCACGGTAGTCTCTTTTCTTGATACTGCGTGTTTTCATTTAGTGACATTTTCGTATAGAGGGTTACATCTGTATAGTCCTAGCTAAATTTTGTCCTAACCCATTCCACAGCTAGCCGCCTCGTTTCTCGGGATTCGGAATGTTACAAGGCTAATTAACTCCTTATCCTAACTCGAGGCAAGGCCTGATGTGCTTGTGGCTATGCTGAGACACAGGCAAGCTTGAAATATAGTGCTGCTTCTGTAGCCTTGATTTTGCAAATTCACTCTCTGCTAATACGAGCAGTCCTGGCTTGCTTTGCTTAGTTAATTAAATCGCTGTTCCTGTAGGACCTCTACTGAATAGTCAACCTGCCTTTGGGCTACGAGCTTTAGGATTATAAAACACATAAGTCGCTGTGTAAGAGGAAATCAAGTGTAAATCCAGTCGAAATACATCGAACATGTGAGTGTATGTACACAAATAAATTGCAAAAAAGTAGAAGTTTATAAAGGTGTACCTTCTCGTCTATATTACTGTGCTTTTCGTTAAATCTGTTGCTCCAGAAACAGGCCTTGCAAATGTAATATTCTGGTTATTTAGCTAAGTTGGACACAAATTCAATGGAAAAGCGATGCGAAAAATTACAAATTAACGTTACGCATACGAATAGAAAGCACATGCGTTGATAAAATAGGTAATAGTTACGAAAGTACTTTCAGGCAATGCATTATAATCCTAATAATATTAGAGGAGAAGGCAGTTACAGTCGTGTGCTATACTTTGCATTTTATTGAGCTTGAAACAAAGAGTAGAAGGTACGTAAACCTTGTTAAGTATACAGAACTATAAGTTCTAGAATATAAACCTTGACACAATCAAAATAAAGGCAGTAAAGGTAAGACAGGTAAAATAATAGATAACGAAGCCAGAGTACCCTTTTAGCAAAAGGTTGAATATTAAGTATCAAAAAGAAAGAAGCTTTTATTCCGCTGCCGGGGTTCGAACTTTGGCTTGTTAGTATATTTTACCTTGGATTAGAGGTGATAAGGAACTTACCCCGGGCCGCCTGGGATCTGTCAATAATCATTGAAAGCCAGGTATCCTAACCTCTAGACTACAGCGGATATATTGACCACTGCGCGATCTGGTTTTGAATTATAAGGACTTGGTTACTTACTTGATCTATATATAGCCTAAAATAAGACTCGAGTGAGAGAGACATACTGGTTTCAAAAAGGCGGTATGGACGCTGTTTGTTGAGGAAAGCTGCGGTCAAGGCTGCCTGCGTCCGAGTAGGAGTCACCGCATAGTGACACAAGAAACCTCAAACGAAGAGATGGTGCAGTATTGTATCACGGGTAGTTGCACAAAATACACATGAAGAATCGAATTAATCGCGTTTTATTAGCTAGCAAGCGATAGGTTCCAGAAACAAAAGAATTACTAGGTGGGCTATTTCGCATTATACAAGTCATCACGTCACGAGCAAAGAAGGCATTCAAAAGAGATGAACACGCAAACCACGAAGCTCGATTCAAGATTTGACAGTCATTTTCAAAGAAGTAAAGTCCATAAAGACTTGGGGAAAGTTTTCTACGAATAGAAGTGGAGATAGAATCACCATCCTTACGACTTTCAAGCCCCAGTCGATGAAATATAGAGCGCTATCTATAGCTTCACGCAGAAAGCACTGGCCATGGGCCAGTGACTCTTAGTAACATCGAGCATAAAACGCACGTGGATACCGGCAGTTAGACTTGCGCCCACGCTCCTTATTAAACATGTTATGCATGATGTAGGAAGGCTACTCGAGGTCCTGGAGTGAAATTCCCTCTGTGAGGGCTGTCATTGGGAGAGTGCCGGTGTAGTTGGCATCGCTAGTAGGGATAGCGGTTGAAAGACCACTGTTGAAAAGCCCCTGGGGCACGGCGGTGCTGATGCAGCAATTTGACTTGTGATCAGAGCAGCGGCACCCGAAGTGACCACCGCGAGAGTCTTTGTCGTGGTAATTGTAACTACGATTAAGGAGTTCGATGTGGTGGCAGAGCTGGATTGAATGACTTAGGCAACCTATATAGATGAAGTAGCAATGCCTGTAGCGGACAGGAAAACTGAAGTGGTGAGAGTCGAAGCATTGGTTGACACAGCAGCAAGAGTAGTGGAGATGGCACCGACGTTATGAGATGTACTATTTCTAGACTCAGCGCCACGAAAAGAGCAGGACCAAGGTCTTGTACGAGGTTAGATTATTGTAGATGCCGACCAAGATGCCAGACTCGGTATACCTGTAAAGTTTACTCGCCACAATGCCAGACGGAGTGTCAGATCCACTCCCGGTGACCTCGATGTTAATACACTTGGGGTTATTCTATACGTCGTTCTCCTGGCCCGCGGAATGTAAAGCAATGATCTCGTGACGCAGAACATGCTGGCCCGCGGCAATGCTGGAGGGCATGGTGATAGACTAGGAGTTGTTGCTTGCGATTAGTTTTGTTGTGGCCCATTCGGTCCCGTCGAGACCATCGTGGTCAATCTTGAAAACAGACAGACCATCCACCGTCGCAGTAGTAACATCACCGACCTTGGCCAAATCGAGGGCTGGTCTTGTGTGAGAATCAGGCCTTAATTATTGTTAGCATTATTTCTGCCCAAGAGAGGACCACGGATTGGGATTTTGACACACAAGTGGTCCACGGATGTTCTACGGTTCCGCCGGATTCAACTTTAGTCATGGCTTGACCTGCTGTAACAATACTAGGGACGTATCTATGGGCGGAGACAGTTGTAGTGAAGGCATCCAGGAGAGCGGCAGCCTGAATTTTAAGAGACATTGCTGAGAAGGATTTTCGAATTTTGTGAGGGATAGAGCGATATGACGACGTTAGAGCTTCGATGTCAATGAAGGTTTATGAGAAGATAACTAGCTTCAATCGATGAAAGGAGCCTGGAAAATAAAAAACGAATGGCGACGCCAAAAGAGCTTAGCCTTACATATATACAGCGAGCGTGGGGCCGGCAACGAATCGATGTAACAAGTGGGGTGAAATAATGCAGTGGGTCCTTTTTGAGATCGACGCTGGCATTGAAGAGTTGAACCCTGTATTCGAACCGATGATGTCCAAGGTTTTGGAGACAATATCATGAATGTAGAATTATTAACTAGAGCCTCAGAAAGTCATCCTTAACAATGTGTTGCATGTTGATGCTTAGAGGCGGTGAGCTCGACGTGCGACGAAACAGCAATGCCAGTCGAAGGCTGAATGCCAATACAAAACGAGTTAGTAGCGAAGTACAGGTGTGAACGAAGTTGACGCGTCCTCCATCAAACACTAAACACCCACCTTTAGAAAAACGGAAGGGCCATGTCAGCGACGCATTTATGTTTGAACATCTTCCCGGGTTTTTTGCTGCAGGTCAGATACTATTCATTTCGTTCGCTCGGTTGAAGCCTGTCTGTTTCACCAATACCCAGGCGGTGGGTCGATTCAATATATCCCTGGCTCGTTGGCGTGCATGACCAACTAATTAAGGCCCGATTTCTATATGATTTCGGCACTATGCCGCGCAACTTCAAATGGCGGAGGATTTTGCCTCGTTCCACAACATCCGGGTGCTGGCATGTCGAGTTTCTCAAGCTGCAATAGAAAATTGCTTGGTGATACTATCGTGTAAGTGTAGGCCAAAACTTGGGAACTCGATATTATTATTTGAATTTAGTTCTCTAGGAACCCATTTTTATTTCAATACAGTCATTCAAGCATCCATTTTTCATTATGAAGTACCAAATTTCGCTCTATTGAATTTGGCCGCATATCAGAGCAGCATCTCTTCTATCCAAACGCGGCACTGGAAGACATCTACCTTTGTACGGAGAATTATGTGTGTGTGTGTGCGGTGTTTCTACATTCCCAACAATTTCTGTGGGATAGCATTCACAGATTCTCGTGCACCGGGAAGCCCTCGTTCAATTTTCAATTTAATTACACTCGTTCTAAGCTGAATCAGTCGACGCATGGTGTTGGGGGCGAGGACCGCTCCCGCGGATTAGCAAGGTTAGTCATTTGGAGACTACGGTGTCCGTACGGCTTCGCTAATTGGCTACATTGCATACCACCTCGCCGTTCCTGGCTTCACACGCAGAAAAATCAATTTAGAAGGAGGCCAAAAGTACTAGTTTCAAGGATCAGATTTGGGGGCGCTGTTTCCGTGCGGCGCGGTCGATTGGAATCAGAAAAAGATACACCCACCTTTATATAAGCGATTACCAACGCGTTCCTACATTTCATTGTGAAGTGTTGTGCTATATCATCCATATTCCCTAAATATAGTTTATCACGAACATTTACAATCATTATCATCCAGAACTCATCCTCGTCATGAAAGAGCATGTAGACATTGTGCCCATCGCAGCGAGCCAGCATGACTCGGATGAGGTTTCCTCGCCTCTCCTAGTCGCAGAATTGAGCAACCTGCCATTCCTTCTGACTCTGGTTGCTCTCTCGATCTCAGTATTCTGTGTTGCTCTAGACACAGTTATTGTTGTTACTGCCATTCCTCGAATCACTGATGCTTTCCATTCAGTCAATGACATAGGATGGCAAGAAAAATCATCTCAAGATCAATTGGATGCGCACTAATCATATTGCAGGTACGGCTCGGCATACCTCCTTCCGTCATGCGCTTTTCAACTCCTATCGGGCAAGCTCTACTCACGATATTCAGCGAAATGGATATTTACTGGGGCGCTGGCTATCTTTGAGATTGGTTCGCTCATTTCGGCTGTCGCACCAAGCTCAGCCGCCTTCATAGTTGGAAGAGCAATTTCAGGCGTGGGTGCTGCTGCCATAATCGCAGGAGCTTTGATCATAATCGCTATGCTCACACCCCCGGAGAAAACACCAGCATATCAAGGCATTATTGGTGCAATGTTTGGTATCTCCTCCGTAACAGGGCCTTTGGTACGCGTGCAACATAAACGAGAGAGTTGGATACACACCAACTGACTTTATATTTGTAGATTGGAGGTTCCTTCACTGACTCTGTCTCCTGGCGGTGGTGCGTACTTCGTACTTCAGCGTGTCAGTGTGATGTTAACATGTATACAGGTGTTTCTATATCAACCTTCCCATCGGTGCTGTCTCCGGCGTCCTCATCCTACTCTTTTTGAAAGTCGCATCGCCTCAAGTCACGAATCTTCCACTTGGTCAGCTTTTGTGGAAATTTGATCCCCTCGGCACAATCCTCTTCCTACCTAGCATCGTCTTACTTCTAATGGCACTTCAATGGGGCGGTGTCGAATATTCATGGGGAAACTGGCGCATTGTTCTCTTCTTCATCCTCTTTGGGGTACGTAGCTGTTTAGTCATACACTGCACTGCGATGGCATCGATAGATGTAAGCTAACTATCTTGCACGTTTAGGTCCTTCTCATTGGATTTATCATCGACCAGATATTTATGGGTGAAGATGCTACTGTTCCTCCTCGTATCGCCAGACAACGCACTGTCGCGTCAGTGTCTTGGTTCATCCTCTTCACATTCGGCGCATTCACTACCAACATCTAGGTACTAGGTCAGGGACACATAGTAGATATGTGCCTTCCCTATATTTTGTGTTATTTGCTAACTGTTTTGCAGTAAGCAAAACCTTCTTTCTGGTCTAACCTGGCTTATTCCCTGATGAGGCGCTGTCTGTTAATGTTTCGTCCCCTCATATTTGAATGGTTGCTAAGTGACCCACCACATCTAGCTTTATACCAATCTACTTCCAGGCCATCAAAGGAACGAGTGCCGAGGGCTCAGGGATATACATGATTCCATTGATTGTATCAAACGTCATCACTATCTTGATCACGGGGGTGCTAAGTGCAAAGTTTCGTCACTATGTACCATTCTTCTACGCCTGTTCTATTCTCACTTCAATCGGCTGTGGGTTGATCACAACGTGGCAGGTGGACTCATCTGCAGGAGTTTGGATTGGATACCAAATTATAGAAGGTGTTGGGACAGGTGCAGCCCTACAGCTTCCTCCAGTAGTCATTCAGGCGGTATGTATATATCTGCATTACAGCATCTTTACATAGTCTAACAATTGATCAGACCCTGCCAGACCGAGACATTGCAAC